AGATGAATTGGTTGGTTTACATAAATAAGCCCCTCATGAGGTACTAGGCAATAAGAGAAATTTATGAAGACTTGAATAATCAGACCAAGTAGCTAATATTACAAATTTGATATGAACAACTTCATTCATGAGAAAAGACAGAGAGGCTTGAAGAAAGTTTATTTTGGGTCTGCAAAATGAGACAGAGAAGGTTCAAAGAAAGCTCGGGAAAAAGCTATGCCAATGATTTCTTATAGCTTGAACATAACCCCTAGTAAGGGTTTAAATGTTGAACAACTAAGTTACTAACATCCAAGTTTAATATGGCGCAAAAGAAATAGGACAGTGAGGGAGATGATCATATGAAAGAGATGGAGGAAAATGCAACTATGAAGATATGATAGTAAATATGCAATGCATAGGTTTGGACAGGTGCAAGAGAGTATAATATTCACTAATGAGACAGATAGATAATTAAGCGAAACTATTGGCAAGAAAAAAATTAAACCAAATACAACTGTACAGTAGCCAGGTAAAAATCATGCAAAATAGAGTCAATGCCTTAATGTAGCAAAAAACAAAATATATTAACAAGAATGGTTAGTAAAATTAGGATAAGATTAATGACATTGGTGAAGAGAAGTGCAACAGAGTTCTTTCCTGATTAATACCTCCTGACCACCACAAAGATTGAGCCGACCCACTTCACCCCCACTAGCTGTTACACGCTCCCTCTCCTCTTCATTCTCCTCCAGCCTATGATCAACAGTAAGCAAAGAAATTGTTCCACCGTTGGAATCCAATATACACCGGGAATCACCCACCGAAGCAACCGTCACGGTTAACCCATCAATCACTACAAGTGTAGCCGTGGTCCCAGACGCCTCCCCTGCCATAAATCATTAAATCTCAAGTTCTCAATACACAATCTTGGAATAAAAGCAGTTTTTTGAAGTCAAGATCGTGCCTTTCCGTTGGAACTCGATATCGGTCTTCACAAAACCTGCCACCAGTGCCCGTGGAAGGGCATGGAGCCACTCTTCCCTCCCAATTCCAGGCGGAATAGCGCCCATTACGTGGTCCAGGAGATGCTCCTTCGTGAACACGGCCGCCGATACCCCATTATGTCCATCGAAGATCTACGGCAACCGACCGCAGCGGTAAGAAGCAGAATTGGAGAAATTCGGAAAAAGAGGGGAAAAGAGGAGGAAAAAGAGAAAACCGCGAAGACAGAGAATGAAGTGGAGGGGTTTCCAGGGATCCGCTGGCAGTCAGGCTTGATGAGAAAGTAATCCTCGCCGCGCTTAGCAAGCCCAGCGTGACCGTAGCACACAAGAGGCTTCTCGGTCTTGTATCCCCGGAGCTCTCGGCCGATAAGGGTGGCGAGGGCTATGGGATGAGGACGCACGCTCTGATCTCGATTCTGTGTATGGTTCATTTTGCATGAGCCTTCCTGGCTGGAACCCTCGTTCACCTCAAAAGCTGCATTTTCCTCATCGTCAACGAATCAAAGGAAAGTAGATTGGAAACCTAATTTCCAGCTAACGAGAGAAATTTCCCAGCGGAGTGAAAGAAAAGCGAGAGAGAGAGACAGAGAATATAGGTGTTTTCAAGTTTCTTTATTCAATAGCAAATAGAAAAAAGAAAAAAAAGTTATGTATCAATAAATTTTCTATCATTAAAAACAAAATCATCATTTAATATATTTAGGATTAATGAAGTGCAAAAAATTTTTATGCCATTAACATAAACACAGATCCCAACATTATAGGGAATGTTTTTAAATAGGAGAAATTTGAGCTAGGATTTATTTTTTTTAATGATTATCAATTAGTACTTAAGACAAATTTAAGATTTGATTAAAGATTCATTTGAGACGGTTTTTTACTAATTTCTACTCCAGAGTTTATGGCCTTCTTTGTCATTATTTAATATTTGAATTAAAAAATACCAATTTGCATGTCACTATAGATTCATATGTTAAATGCTCCTAATTAATATAAGTGCACTTGTCGATCAAGTAATAAAGTGAATGAGGGAGTGTCGATCCTATGAGGAAACAGGTGAATCACAATTGACTCTAAGGGGATAATTCTACTCAAGCTGCTAAATTTATTCTATACAAAACCAAGGGGTTAATTATTAAAACTACTGAGATAGTTAAGATAACCATAAATAAAGATGTTTTGGACTAATGATGGTTAATGAATATACGTTCTCCTAAGCAAACTTGTTTACATTAGCTGTGAATCAGAATTTATGGGCCTTTAGATCTCTATCGAGCCTATAAAAGTGTAAAGAAAAGTTTATGGTCTCTCTACATTTATCATATCTCCATAGATCCTAGAATTCTAATCATCCCATGTCTACGTATGAAAGTATTCCATATAAATACTCCTTATTGTTCTAACATTCCTCCGTCGATGTAATGTATCACACTAGATTTTAAATGTATACATGGTCATTACACAAATTAAATTAAGCATGGGAGATGTTAAAAACAACAATTCACATATGTACATAAGAGTCTACATTAGGATATACACAGATTTTTACATCATCAGTCTAAAACTAAAAGTTTAACTAGCCATATAAATAAAATTGAATAAAACGCTTTCCATTACTTTCTCAAGAAAAAAATTACAAATAAGAAAGATGAAAAAATTAGCACCCATAATGAAGAATCTCAAATAGATCATGCGGATGAACTCTTCCGGGAGTGATTTTCCCCTTACACCTTCACTCTCTACACTCCTTTTCACTCCTAAGTGTTGTTTTACTCTCTACAAGGATGACCAGCCAATCCACTACATGCTACTCACTATCCTCTGTTTCTACCTTATAAAGAAATAAAAAAATTCATTTATAGTTAACATAAACAAGCTTAGGTTTCGTAGTACTTGATAAGGTGGTGCCACAACAATATAATATGAACTAGTGCCTTATAGATGCTCAATGTACTTCATTGCGATGTTGGGATGATCTGGCGCAATTGTTGGTTAATTCAGCGTGATGTTTGGCTAACTTTGTGCGATGCTTTTTTTCCCTAACTGCTCCATCACGGTGCTACAAAAGATGGGTGTTGTAGTGATTTCTTACATTAGTTGGCCCTGCAACGCTCCCGAGGTTGGCTCTTCAGTGTTAAATTATTTATAATTTTCCTCGAGGCTCTAATGATTCAATGTTCACTTACGGCATTACGGAGTTAAGTAGCGTTGTGGCATTAACCTTTGTTCTGACAGAGCACTGATTGAAATGAAACTTTTCTAAGTCTCCGGCACCGTAATGTCCTATTTTGGCATCAGGGGTTTGAAGATGTTGCATCGCTGATAGTTCTAACACTATGACACTGGTTCTTAGCTTTGTAATTTTTGCTCCTTTTTCAGAGTCATTCACACATAACATCAATTAAAACACAACCCTTTTATTGGAATTTAACACAATAAAATACATCATAATTTTTACTTAATAAGCATCTTGGTGGAGCTTGGACAATCTCAAATATAACTACTCTATACACATGTATTATGTCATATTATTAGTAGGACATAAGTAGTGTACGTATAGGTTTATTAGTTATTTCATAGTACCTAGTATTCAATAGCAATTTGATCTAAAACCAAGAATATTATAAGTTGGGTAGAAACTAAATTGAATATGATGGTATCATACATGAAAACTTAGGATGTAAGAAGAAAGACTATCAAAGTCATATTTTGTAGTTGGGAGGAATACTAGCAATCACTCTTTAGGTTAATGGAGTTAATTTGCTCCATCATAAGAGGGTTAGTTTATAAACAACAATTTGGTTAGCCAAACCAACAACTAACTCGTGAGCACAAATTATAAGTATCATATCCCCTCAAGTTCTAGTTCACCTCCAAAATCTTATTGGTTGCACTTTAATCATCTCAATTGGAAGGTACTTGTGAATCTAAGAGTGTACAAATCAATAAACCTTATTTATGTCTTATCTTACGTACATCTCTCTCTCTCTCTCTCTCTCTCTCTCTCTCTCTCTCTCTCAAATTAGCAATAATTACTTCACATACATTTTCTCTAAACATTCAAATAATTCAATAATATACATACAATGAAAGTGTTCTAGCTCTTTGTTGTGTCATATAACTAGCAATTATCTTTTTGACATTTTTATTTTGACTCACATCACTTATATAATCTAGAATAGACTATGGTAATGTATTTAGAACCAATAAAAATAATATTATTTATCATAGTTTTATCCCTAATGTAAATTCACAAAATAATCAGTTATACTTAAAAAATCATAAATGCATGATCGAAGTGGTGTAAACCCAAACTTCCCTTTGTTAAACTAAATAAGGATCTATGGGCATGTTTATCATTGCACAATGTGTATGTAAAGGTCAATGTGTGGTCAATGGTCAATTCATTTTTTAAAAATAATTATCAAGTGAGCTCATGGATCCAATTAAACTAAAGCTTATCACTTTAACTTTATTAAATTTAAAAGCTTAATTTTGAAATTTGTTTCGATAGTGTTCAAAGAAGTTTGAAAATGGAAATATAAATATCTATAATTTTTAGAAGTTAAATAAATGTTTAACCTTATGTAATGTAGATAGTAGATTTAATTTTGAAAAAAATTAATTAAGTTGATATACATTAGGTTATGTGAATTCCTAAACAATTATATTATATCTGGAGATGATAGGGTGAATCCCATAATCTAATGAACCATTGTTTGATAATGGTGATCAACTTATTATATCTACAAGTGTTAGACCTACTCAACTAATTATGTAACAACACAAGTGCTTGCACATGAAATTGCCAATCAAAATAAAAGATAAATAGTTAAAATTATCAATCAACTAACTCAATGTTTTAGTTTTTGAATGGGTTTCAAACACTTGAAAGATTAAATAAAATCCGAGTACTTAAAAAAAATACTTACAAGTTAAGGTTAAATGAAATCAAGATTCATATGTCCTACTCAGATAGCAAAATTTCCTAGTCAATATAGCCCAAAATGAAATAAACGGAATAATAGATATGAGTGGGTAATTATACAAATATTATATTACAGTGTGAGAAACATGATTATTGGCATAAAAATGTCAACATTACATTTGCTTGATGATTAGATTGTATCACTTTGCATTATTTTCAATGCTAAACTAACTTAATCATGCTCATTCTAATTCATGTGAACGTAAACTAAATCAGTACCCTCTCTTGATCTCCAGCTTTTCCTAAAATTGTCTCAAGCATTCAACCACATCAAATCAACATAAAATTTAATCCTTTAGTTCATCACATTGGTTCAAATCTTAGCTTAC